GGGCCATTGGCCCAATAACTGCATCTAAGCTGTCCACAGCTGAGGTCACAGCTGATAGGACGCTCTTCCCTTGGGCGCGTGTTTCGATAATTTGGAAATTTTTACGCGAACGCTAACCTTGAACTCGGACTTTTTCGTGGGTATCGTCGTTTCGGTGGTCGAATAAGGCCAAATAGACCTAACGAGATTCCGAAGCATCCAAAGCTATAAAAAGAGCTAGACGAGCGACAGCACAAAAAAACTCTTCAACTTGGCCCAATAAACACAATGGCCGGCAAGCGACGCCGACACCCACCAAATGCTGGCCATACACGGGCTGCGGTCCGGTCCATCTGCGGTAGCATCATCAGCTTTGTTCGTGCTTTGGGCCAATGATTGGGATTGAAATTAAAGTCAATGTTTCTGGGGCCGAAGGTTACACGAAAGAAACACGCGACACGGGGGTGTGCTGGAAAAAATTTCAAATTACACAAAAGATGCGCACAAAAAGAAGTCAATGTACGGATGCCTTGAGACGGGGGCGGTAACAGGAAGGAGCTAAAGGTCAAGCCAGAACTGATTGAGTGGCTGCACATTCGCTCCTTTAACTTAGTTCCAAAACGCCTTGGGGAAAAACCTGCAGCTAAAATTCCCCACATGGTGAAATATGCGGAAATTCCTGTTGTCTTCGCTCGAAAGGTTTCGCTTTAGTCATTCAGCCACTGCTCGTAGAGTAGCCCTTGAGTAGATCGTATTCAAATTCCGACTAATATGGGTGACGCGTGTATCGCATCTCTTCGATGGGATCACCAAGGGCTACTTATTGTCTCATAAATATTCAGCGGCTCTCACGCTGATGTTTGCTCAGCTCAAACGCAAACAGAAATGTGCGAGAGTGTATAGAGAGGGGTTTTAGCCAGAACTTGGCGGTAAGAACAGCTCTCCCAAGGCATTGTGGCATCCCACGCAATGAACTTTGAGCAGCAGTAGGCAGCTGTTTGCACCTGCTCCGAGTGGGATTTTTAGCAGGCAAACTAAAAATAAGGTGTAAGAGGAGGCTGCTGATCAGTAGATCACTCGGTCAAGCGGTTATTTATTTCTCTCCTTTTCATCCTTTTATTTGAATTTCTCTACACAAACATCCATCGCCTCCATAGGCCATAGGCTTGGCCAGCAGCTTTGTTTGTTTCACAAGTTCACGGCGCGTTTTGGCCGTTTATTGATCGGGAAAAGCAAACACAGTGGAGGAATCGAGCGGCTGGCTAGTGACAGCCATTGGACCCACTCTGGCCGTCGCTCTTCATTACACATGAATATGTTAAAAAGCCAGCAGAAAACAAACGGGTTCCCTCGCAGGTTCGTCCGTCTTCTCTTTTTTTGGATATACGAAATCCATCCATGCTCGTACATATTCAAACAAAGTCTGAGCATAGTTGTCGCATTTGATTTGTGTGTGTCTGTGGCAGCGTCCTACTTGGCGTTCTCTTTTTTTTCGTCTTGGTTTTCACATTTTGTTGTGTGCTCGCACACTTTTCCGACGAACTGCAAAGTTCAAGCAAATCTCAGTAATTATATGCAACGCAGGCAGGGCTGGTCAGGGGTTAATTAACGGCTTTTCATGTGCTCTTTGCACGGAGTGCAAGCATCACAAGGGGCAAGCAGAGGCAAGCAAAACCCATAATAGTCGAAATTCCAAGTTAACTGATACTTGATATTAGTGTTTATTAGTTGCTAATAGAAAAGTACTCAACTTGAGATCAAAGGAGACAATAGGGTGTGGAAAATCTTTTCGACTGAAACGAACTTTGGTTGTTTGGTAGATTTGTGCTAAAAAAATGTACATTCGAACTTAAAGGTTAAATAAAATTCGAATTTGTTCAGTTCTTTTCTTTTTGTTCCCTGTGGCACATTTTCCCAAAGAAAGTATATCTGTTCTTCGTGTTATTATTATTCATTTTGATTGAGTTTTAAAACGATTTTGATGTTTTCCAATCTATTATAAGTATGGATAGAAAATGAATGTCAAGCAAAAGTGTCAAAGGTATGTCGCAGTTCAGATTTGCCTATTCCTCCTTTTCTTATAGATATTCATACAAAATAACTTCCATTTAGTCTTCATGCATGGATCCAAGTTACCATTACTAGAACACTCGGATTGTAGGCTTGTGGAAATGCGCATTTAATGCCCGAACGCAGCACGCTCTTGGGCACTGCAAGTAACGGGTAACGGGCAGTACAACAGAGAGCAAAAAAATTCCCCGCAAACACCTGATATTACTGATAATTAACGGCTGCACTTTGGTGTGGGTGCAAAGCACAGCAGCAGCCGAGCATCCTTGCTGGCCCCAAAAGTCGGCAGAGCGAGAGCGGCGCACACAAGCACACATACAGCGATCAAAGCACACACAGACATCAGACATAGCTGACAACCTGTTGCTGCTTCTGCTGCTAAGCTTCGGCTGAGCTGCGCTCTGAGACTGCTTCGCGCTCACGTTCGCTCTGGGCCCGGGGGCCGCCGCCGCTTCACCGCTCACAGAAAATGCGCCACGCCACCAACGTCGCTCCTATGACTCGTATAAAAGCAAAGCGGCAGCGTGAAATCAAACTTATTTTGATTTTTGATTTGAATGTGAAAACGTGCGCTCCGCTGTCCAGCCAAGTCTAGCCGTAGCCGTAGCCGTAGCCCGTTTAGCAGCCCATTGTGGTCAGCAGCATCACAAATAAAAGCAGCAGCAGCAGCAGCAGCAGCAACCAAGTAGCATCCAAGCCTGTCCGCAGTTGTTCCCATTGTGATGTAGTTAAAACAAATCCAAAAATCATATAAACATGTTACAAAAGTGTGTGTGTAATCCAAATCAAGGATAATCAAATCGAATCGAATCAAAACGAAACAAAACGAACGAGAGTGCGGCGAACGAGCAGTGAAAACAAGTTGAATGCCAAAGCAAAGTAATCTTTGTAAAGATTCAGCAAAGTGAATAATATATTAGAAATTCCAATACGTATTACCTGTAACTATCTACTAATTGAAAGAAGGTCCCGATCTTTTGAGTGCCCTCAACCAGCGAATTACACAGGAAAAAAATGGTAAGTCTCTGGACACTGGGGGGATTCCCAGTGAATATCTGCTGCATTTAATCAGAATTAATGGAGTAAAATTGAGTTAAAAATTGAGGACTCCACCCTGCAATTTTGATTCTGGCTAAGTAGCATGCAAAGCTGGCTGGCTGGCTGGGCTTTCCATTCAATCACACAAATGACCCTTTCCACAGCTCAGCACGATTCGCAGATGCCATTTATTATATACCCGAGGGTGTTATTAAGGGGGGGGGGGAAAGAAAAGAAAAGATTCCCCGCAGTGCATTACAGCATCCGTAATAGTTTTCCTTTAAATATTATATTGTTTGTATCTGCAATTAATTGAGCAAAAATTGAATAGCTCTGAGCAGGGCCAGGGAACAAAGAGACTGAGATTATTCATTGAGGAAAACCTTCCGTCAAGTGTCACGCTCACTCTTCGCTCACTCTCCGCTCCAATCTTATATATTTGTTGTGTGGTTTTTTCTTTGGAAATGGAAAAACACCAAGTTCGAGCGCCGCGTGCAACTGGTTTTCACTTTCAAGTACAAATTTTTTGGGCAAGGTCTTTTCGCCCAGTCTTTGCTCAAATGCATTTTTGCCGAGCGCAGAACTTTCGTTCTCTATCTCTGTCTGTACGTTTTCTGTTTTGCTAGTGCCATTCGCACTTGAGTTATATACGTGAAGAGTGCACACAAAAATTGCAAGTGTTGCATTTACTTTTCGTAGCTTTCGAGTCTTGGCTGTCTTGGCCAAGTGAAGTGAAGGCTGTTTCGTTGGAGGTTAACTTAACTTAACTCTCTGGGTTAGCCCAGAGCCCACAGCTGGCTTGACCACATTCACACGGAAGTGTTGCTGTATAGCGCTGACCTTGAATCTCGACTGGGATAACTGGATAAGTAAGGCCTCCAATCAAGTGATGGCAAGTGAAATGATCTGGCCTCATGGCCAAACGAATGCCCTCCCTACGCTTTGTCCATCTTCGCTGACATCCGCCGTTCCTTTTATTTTTGGTTTTTTCTGCTGATCATTGAGACGGCTTCTGTCAGCCTGCAACTGTTGCTCCCTCCGCCACTGCCTGTGTGTAGAAATCCAGTGATTTTCATATTCATTCATTGACTGAGCTTCCCCTTTGGGTTTGCCAATCAACTGACAACCGCCTGGCTAATGATCCGAGCCGTCTGGCACCATTTTGGGCCCCCAAACATATCGAAACTTATTCAAATCTCTCACAGTTGTTTTCCTCTCCTTTTTGCCAATGCGCTTACACAATGATTATTACACCTCGCGGTATTTTTGTTTGTCAGCTTTTGCCGCTTTTTCTTTCGGTGGCGCGCCACACATTTGACACTGAAAAGTGCCAAGAGGCAAGTGCGCAGCAGCAGCAGCAGCAGCAGCAGTCATCACAGGCACAAATGTGCCTTAATCAGACGATTTGCTTGCGGGCACTGTACGGCAGTCAAATCACATTAGAGAGACAGTTAGTGAGTCCCCCAACCCCAGTCGTTCCCCTGCATTGACAGCGCTGCGCTCAGCTGTTTTTCCCTCGGCCCTGTGTGGGTGTGTTTGAGAGCGCTGAGATATAGCTTTGCCAGTGTGTGTGTGTGTTTGTGTGCGTGAGATAAGTTCGTTCGCATGTGACTGCGATCGATTCGAGGTTCGGACTGTTCCACTTCGTTTTTCCTGGCACAACGCGACGTTTGCGCATTATCCGAGAGCGCGGAAAACTTGCAACTGTTTCTTCTATTTGCAACTCGCCTCGCCGTCGAGCCATTTGGGCAAAGGTTTATTGGCAAATTCTATCATTGAGACACGGCATGCGTGGTGCTGCCGCTCCACCCGCGTTTTATCTCTCGTGGTGTGCGTGCTCCCCCTCCGTGCTGTAATGTGCTAAATACTGATAACGCAGCGAGCAAACAGAGAGAAACATAGAGCAAGAGAGAGAGAGAGCAGCGACGATGGCGTTGCTTCGGGGCGCTTATCGGCTCGCGATTGAAGTAAGTGTCATTGCAATTAAATATATTAATGGCTCCCCTTTGGAGTTTAATCGAGTACAAGTCACACTGTACAGGTTGGAAAAGATCATAAAAATAGAGCAAACCCTGCACCTGAGCTCGTTCTAATGTTTTAGTGCTTTTTTTAAATTTTTAACATATTAAAGATCTAATTTGATTACCATTTTGCCGTACCGATCGAGGATACCTAAATATATGTAAAATGTAAGAAATATGTAAAACTTTCATCGACTAACTTAATTGCCTTTTTTGTGCATTTTAAGTTGCTTTCGTGTCTTGGTACAAAGAAGTTTTTGTGTCATGTAGTATGCGTAATACCGTGAACTCCGAGCTTCAGCGAATTTACATTGAAACCGGGCTCGGGTGCATGTTTCACAGGGGGCTTTGCACGCTTAATGAAATGCCAGAGCTTCCTTCGTTCTCTTTTTGCCAGAGTACTTATATTTTGTGTGTTTCTGATTCTATTTATTTGCATTTGAAAGACAAGACAGGATTTTAACTTATAATTATGGGAAATATATGTAAATAAATATAACAATACATTAGTTATTGAAACCTTCACCGAAACGAACGCTATCAAACATTTTTTTTAAATATTTAATAATTTTTTGTGAGTTCCTTTCGGCGTTTGCATATTTTACAATTAAATTTATGCGACGACAAAGTTAGAGTTTTAGAATGGAAATAGAATGGAATATGTCTTAATTTATCCATTCTGTTTTAAGCCAAAAACAATTGCCAATTTTTGATGATCTTCAAACAAATAAACCAATAAATTTCGGAAACCTTTCAAAGACTCGTTCGGTGCAAGGTGAAATTTAAAATTCGCGCTTAGCCTGTGGCTGATAAATAATACGCTTTGGTTTTTTTGCGCATATCTAAACTGATTGAGCTGAAAAGTCATTGCCTGTTTAATTGTATACGTTAGTGATTGTTAAGGAGGCGTGGAGAGCAGGGTACTGGGGGGTACATTTCTGAAGTAAATTTCGAGTGTTGGCATCTGCATTGGAATGGCATATTAAATACCTGATTTTAATGCCGTTCAATTATGGATGTCAATGCATAATTCACTGAAAACTGGAATGTATGTATAAATGTAAATGTATGTATGTAAATGTGTGTGTATTTATGTATGTGTTTGTAGGATGAATCAGCTAAAGCCAAAACACCTTCCAATTTGGTTTTGGGACCCTAAATACCTGCACTTACGCACCATTATTTTTTTGAAGTATTTGCAGCTGTGCACTTGACTACGAATCGAGTTTTAGCTGCAGCAACAAATATTTCAACAACATGCAACTTGAAACGCGGCTAAAAACGCGCACAGAGCAGAGTGAGCGGATTAGAATCGACAACAAAAGCAACAGCAATACATGTACACAGGTACATATGTGTTTGTGCCTCCTTCGCGGCAGTCTTGCACCAATTACTTGGCCTAAGCTTTTGGGCCAGCGACAAGTGGGCGACTCCAACGCTGCCTCGATTGCCAAATTAACGCGATTTAGTTTGCTTTGGAAAAGTCGCTGAAGTCAAGTCTTTGCAGCCACAAAACCAAAGCACACGCACACACATCCACAAGCACACATGTATCAAGTTGTTGGTGCACCAAGTGCAACATGTGCTTCACTCTTTGCCTCTTGGAGCGTGTGTCGAAATGGCGCGTTTTAAATCGCGTGCAAGTCGCCTTTGCTTGAAAAAAGTGAACGCTCGCTGCATTTTTCAACTTGACCCACAAGATCAACGCATTGAGAGTTTTCACATATTTTGTGTGTTTCTTTGATGGCTTCCCAAAAGATTTGTTTACACATTTAACAAATTGCACAAAAGGCAGGGGTCCCAGCTGCAGCTGCCAGTAGAAGCTGCAGCAGCCTCTCTTGCTGCTGCTGTTGCATCATCGCATTAGACACAAGATGCCGCCGCCACACACTGAACCTGAATGTTTGGCTCGAAAAGCCAGTTGCACAGCTCCAATCAGACCAGCCCTCGCTCCACTCCTCTTGCCAGCTGTGCGTCTGCAATGCTCAACTTGACCTATAAATTGATTTTAATGTTGCGCAGGCTCGTGCACACACACACACACACACATTTGTGTGCGTATTTCTTTGATTTGATTTTTCTTTGATTTTGTTGTTGTTCATTAATGATCGAAAATCATTAAGTGCGACGCACACGAGCATCGATCGAACGATCCGCGTGGAACTGGATGCAAACCAGTTTGGCCCTTTTACATTTGGCTTTTTATCTCTGTTGCTGAGCGGGAGCGGGGACAGCCAGGGAGCGGCACTGACTGTTGTTGGGAAAGTAAAAGTGTTGAGCCGGACAATTATGCGGCTCTACAAACGGGAAATCATAATTTTTGTACTTACGAGTATTTTTTTGGTGGCCAGTGCAAATTGCTTAGTGCCGCCCCAGCGCACAGAGAGAGAGAGAGAGGAGAGAGAGATGCCTTGCCACTTATATAAAAGTCATTAAAATAAATCAAATTAAAAATCAACTGCGGGGAAGACAGTGCGAGTATTTAGACAGGCAAACAGATGCTGTCACCTGCAGCAGCTTGCCGTGGCTCAATTGCAAAAAAAAGAGACCCGAAGCACACAATCAAAAAAAAAAACACGAAATCACAGTCAGTAAACCAAGCCACTAGCCGGTTGGCCTTGACAAGAAATATATGCATACAAATATAGCCTGAGATCTTCAGATTTGAACTGATGATGATTTCTGTTACTACATTTATCATCTCTCAAGTCTCTGATCTCTCGCAGCATCAGCCTCAACACCTATACCTATATCATCTTTGCTTTGCTCTCCGCTGCTGATTCGTTGTGTCTGCGTCTGTCCAATTATGCATTTGAAACCAGAGACCAGAGACCAGAGACCAGGCCAGACCAGACCAGACACACTCTCCGAGCTGTGGCAGCGGGCAGGGGATCTTGTAGCCGCTGTAGAAGATGAAAGTCTGGTTTAGGTAATTGCCAGCATGTTGTAAAGTGTTAATAGCACTTTTTGTTTTGTTGTTCGATTGTGCTTGGGCTGCTGCCTTTTCGTTGATCATTTAATTGCCCTTATTGGCGCAGGCTCCCACCGACCAACAGACCAACAGACTCCACTGGAATGCAAATACTACAAATCTCTCTCTATGTCTGCGTCCTCAGGCTGCCACTGATTTATATCGTCGTATTGTGCAAAACCCCACAAACAAAAATTTGAATGATAAAAATGCAGTCGGTTGGTTGGTCCAATTTTGATGCCGATTTGGCAAGCATCTTTGTCTCTGGCATCTCTCTCTCTCTTTTTTTTCCCAATGTGAATGAATTCATAAACAAGCCGGAATGGGGCGAACGACGTTTGGCATTGAAAACGCAATAATCGTATTAATTAGTTAAATCAACAAAAAATACAAAATAAAACCTGAGCGAGTCATAAAAAACCCTGAAGATCAGCAAAAGTTTCTTGGAAGGCAGAAGCGAGTAAGAGTCCAAGTTCCCGCCCTGACTCTGACTTTGATGTCTTATTCTGTACCTGCTTGCCCCATGGGTGTGCGATTTGTGGCCCAAGTGGCAGTCACTCATTACTCAGCAGTCACTGGCAGCACATTAGCAGAACAATTTGCCACAGCAACTAAAGACTAAAGACCAATCATTATCGGGTGGTATATCGACTTAGTCACTGACTGACTGACTGACTGACTGACTGACTGACTGACTGCTTTGGGATGGCTACTGGCCCACTGAGCATTGTGGGTCAGGCCTTGCTGAGGAGGAGACGTTGTCGATGGCGACACCGTGCAATGATGATGGATATGAATGGTGAATGGTCAACTCATCGCCCAGCGTTTGTCGTCTGCGTTGGGACAGTCCCCCTCACAGTGAGTCTCAACTCATTTGTTGGACTTTGTTTCGTCTTTATGGCGCATAATGAAGCGTTAAAATGTAACGCCACAGCAGCAGCAGCAGCAGCAGCAGCAGCAACAACAATTACAAATGCCTCTTTTACACTTGTCCCCCGGGACCGACTGACGGAAGCATTTTTGTGGGTTTTTGGAGGGAAAGCACTTGGGGTACCGCGGGCCGTGCCGCGTGTGAACCAAAGAAAGCGAAAAAAAGGGTCAGCATTTGGCCAAGAGATGATGCTGTGACTTACGCAAACTGACCAAAGCCAGAGCCATACCCAGAGCCATAGTCAGAGCCCCAGCTTTATGTAATAGCAAATACAATACATTTTCAGCTGACATATTTGTTTGGGGCAAAGTCCAGACAGCCAGCCAGTCAGTCAGCACCCAACGAGCAGCCAGCGCAAAACAGCTGGCGAGGCCAGAAGACTAAGCTTGCTGAGAGGCAAAACAAAAATTCTGTCCATAGACATCATCAACATCATCGTGAATTGGCAGAATTCAATAGAGAAAAATAAAGTTGCACAAGCCTAAGAGAGTGAGTCAACATTTGCCACCGCATTGGCCAACCTTCTGCAGTTCAGCAGCGGCACATTAACGATGATATTCAAGTATACATACTTATGTACATATGTGTATATTACAAGCACTTATTAAACTTATTGAATGCTTGAGCAGCAGTACAAGTTTCCATACAATTTATCCTTTTCGTTTGCTGTTGCTTTTGATTTGAATTTTATTTTTATTTTTGGCAATTCCCAATTGAATTTTATTTGTATTTATTTGCAAAAAAACAAAAGTTCAACAAACTGCGCGTTAAAATGTTGTTTTTATTATATTTAATACTGGTTGGAGTCTGCTGTGGCTTACAGATGGCCTTAAATGATGTTTACGCCGCCGTTCTTTGTGTGGCCACCCAGCGGGTTCTTTGTGACAATTTGTTGTCTAACATTTTTGGATTGCATTTCTCAGCTGACAAACGACTTGGAGCTGCTGTGTATGCCAGTCAGCACTAGGAAATTTGCTCATTTGATTTATTGAATTGATCAATTAAGGCAGGTGCCAGCACTACTCGAGCAGCAATCGACAACAACCATCAAAGTTCCCCCAGCACACCCACGCCTCGGCAAGTTCGTGTCTTTCGGTGTCTTTTGTTTGGCTGTTGATAAACATCGACAACATACATGATGGATTATGACAGCTCATTGGTTAAGCTTCAATCAGCTGCTCCACAAAATGCGACAATTATGTATGGAATGTCTGAGCGGTTCCGGGCACGGCTTGAACTTCCCTCTGTCAGCGCCCAAAACTGGTTCTAACTGCAGCGCCAGCGACCCAGCTTTCTGCACTGGGAAATGCAACGCTATAAAGTGGCTCAGGCTTGCAAGAGCAAATCTAAGCACAGCCACTTCCACTGCCACAGACAGACAATTAAATTTAATTGCCGCTGTACTCCCGACCTCCTCGCTCGGCTCTCCCCTCTGAGTGCTGCATTATGGTGCGTGTTAAGTATATACAATTTCCATCTTAATGGATCTCACCTAGATAGTGTGAGAAACGGGTTTTATGACGCTCATCGCTAGTAATTTTCCTTAATCAAATGGCATAAAATATGTGGAATTAAAGCAAAAGCCGCGTCGAAAAGTGCAGCGCTTCCTCCTCCTATCAGGGTTCATTTCTGTTGGGCAATAAGTTTGCTGAACTTTGGCCACTCTGCCCACACAAAGCCAAAGCCCATCCGAGAAAGTCTTCCCAAATGACCAGAAATTAACGCATCACCGGAAGCAGTGAAATGGTAACAAGACTTGAAGCTGGAAATAAAAAAAAAGATTCACTCTTCTGTTACACTCTTAGAGCTTTACTAACGTCTACTTATGACTCGTAATATCTGATATATTTATACATAAAACATACAAACAAGTGTCCATGCATCCGCTTCATGTATATTCATTTTTCAGCCTCCTCTATGTCTAATTTCTGCACATCACCTGTTGGCCTTTCATCTTTCGAAGGGCATCCCAACTGTGGCCTCTGGCTTTACCGCTCTTTTGGAATTCAATTATCCAGCACGCACCTAAAAAAAAAGTGAAAATCTTTGAGAGAGCCTCTCCCAGAAAATGGAATCTTAATTGGATGCAATCAGCGGCGACATTGTTAGAGCGGTGCCTTCCGGACCCTAAGCAATAATTTTTTCCCTATTTCGTCTGCAAAGTCTGAGTCGTATCTGAGTCACCTTTTGATGGCGACAATTACGCGCATTCTCGTTGCTGGGGACGCTTCACTGGCGGCGGGCGGCCTACTCGTGCCATCCCGGAATTACGTCAACTCTGCAGCGGATACTCGTACATATTGTCGAGTCATGTGGGGCGACACACACATGGAGGGAGCAGCACGAGTCGCTCAAGTGATGGAAATTTCAATAAATCTTGCAATGAAGAGAGTTGGCCGGTGTCTGCGGTTCTCGCTCGACGATAACCCGCAATTACATTCACTTCGGGCACACCCCCAAGCGTCGATCAGTCTCTCTGTCTGCCGGTCTATCCATCGCTCAGCGACTTCAACTCACCGTCTGTCTAGCCGCATAACGGCAGACCCTGTCCGTTAATGAACCGCATAGACGAACGGCATAGCGCGGCACTCGGAGATCAATCTGGTTGCCATTGACAGCTTACGGAGTCGCTGAGTCGAGGCGACAAATGAGCATTGTATCTCCGCCTGTTGGGCCACAGATCCGAATGTCTTTGTCTCTCCCCCCACAAGCTGCACATGATGGATGAGCCTGGCCAGCTGGCCAGTGGCGTAGTTAGCAAGTAAATGGCCTAAGCTTTGTGAGCACGAATTAGCCTAGTTTTTGGTCAATTCTGATGTGCATTTTGCCAGTTTGCCAGTTTGCCAGTTGCAAGTTTTCATGCGAATTGTTCCTTAATTGACTCAGAGAATGTCTTACATTCCAGCAAAACTTTTGCAAATGTGTAAACATGGAGCTGCGTCAATCGAGGACATTCTCCTTGACATTCCCCGGTATGCCGTGACGCCCCTGATTTGCCAGAAAAATCAATTCAGCCTAACCCTAACCCCGCAACGGGGGGGTTCGTAATTACGCTTGTAAATGTTGCTGTTGCTGTTGTTTTTGTTTTCCTTCTTTAATTGCCGTCAGCCGGGGTATTTAACTATTTAGTCAGCGATTAACACTCGCGGAACTGGTTTAACTCTTTCCTGGCATGCCCCTTGGCCCGGCGATCGTTCGATTTTTCTCTCACTCGATCGATCTAACCGTACAATAGTACGGTCTCCCCTGTTACCTGTTCAGCCGTCATTTATTTGATCATTTGTTGATTGCTTCGCTTTGTTATTTATCACATGGCCAAGAAGGCATTGCAACATCGAAATCGGCGAGCTGGCCGCACCAGTTTTTCCATATAACCAAAAACATACGAAAACATGGACAGACATAAATCTGTACACATATTTAGTTGGAGTGCTAATCGAATCAAAAATATAGAAAATCTTGGTGCACCGTTGGCCACTTACGGATACTCTCATAGAATGTTGTTTTTTCTTTCCGTGCCACTGGCTGCGAGTTTCCTTTGTGCCTCTTGCCACATGTGGTGAGATCCAAGTGAATTAGAGCCGAACGACAGAATACTCATAATCAATCGGTTGTCCGCCCCTTTGAGCTTAAGTTGATTGTTCATCGGGGGCAACTCCAAGACTCCATGACTCCACAACTCTCCGTGTGTGTGTGTGTTGCAATGTTGTAGCTATGTAATTAACGAGGCAACCTTATGGATTGATCTGACACTTGATCTGTTGCACAACTAACGTATTTTTCTGATTGCTTTGCAGGATTACCTCACAAGATTCTATGATGGCTGGCGGGATCTGATGGACAACAAATCGGATCCGCGCACACAGGAGTATCCGCTCATGAGTTCGCCGTTCCCCACGATAGCCATCAGCCTTACATATGCGTACATCGTTAAGGTAAGACTATAACCATATATCCCTGGGGATCTATAATTATGGCCAACCATTCTGGAACCAGAACCATTCTGGATAATTTATGTTAATTTCGCGAAGCTGCCAGAGCCAGAACTGGGAATGGCACTTTGCGTTGCGATTTTGATGGCTGTCTCTGTGGCCTGCGGATGAAACTAGTTTCGGTTTTATTGCATTGCAAAATGAATGTGAAACAAAAGAAGAGGTTCAGGGCCATCGCAATCCCAAAACCCAGTCCCAGAGCGAGACGATCGCTTGGCAGCTGGTGTTGAAATGTGACCCAAGGAGATTATGCAAAAATCAACAACAAAAATCACTTCGAATCAACGATTTCTATTTAGGTTGAACGCTTCACATATTTATATGTAGTTTATGTAGCTTTATCGAAGTATTTAACTTACTTTCACACACAAATGCCGCCGGGACGGCACTCACACGGGGGGAGACTCACCAAACAAAAGACTTGGGCAATGAACCTGGTCACAGCAAACCAAACAGAGAAGAGACATCCCAGACGATGGGTTTTGATTTGATAATTGCTGTGGCTGTCCCTGTGGCTGTGGCCTCTATTCGATGCCAAGCGATGCTGGGCAAAGGGCAACGATTAATATTTGAAACTTGAGCTAAAAATCTTTTCTTCTTTCAGGTACTGGGCCCCAAGCTCATGGAAAACAGAAAACCCTTTGAGCTGCGCAAAGTTTTGATTGTCTACAACGCGGCGCAGGTGATCTTCAGCACTTGGCTGTTCTACGAGGTAACACAACTAAAGCGGAGGCTGGCAGTCACCCACTTCCAGTAGAAGACTAAGCTCTCCTTTCTCTTTGTAGTCCTGCATCGGTGGCTGGCTGAATGGCTACAATTTGAGATGCGAACCCGTCGACTACTCCTACTCACCCAAAGCGATACGTGTAAGTGGTTTAGCATTTATTTTGCATAAGAATCAATACACAGAAATAGTCGAGAATTGTGCTGTGAATTTCCCAAATATATTGTGATTAGCAAAGAACTTTTTATGTAAGCAACCAGTTTTGGCCAGACAAGAAATTGGTAGATATAAACGGCAATGGGGACAGCTTCTTTTATGCTAATTAAAACGAAATGGTTGGCCAAAGTCGGCCGGCACTGTCTCTAAAATAGAGAACATTTTTTCGAGACGCTTCTCTCTCCGCCTCACGTGTGCCAGCAGGTTTGGCGCTGAGTGTCAATGGCTGGAAGATGCTGTGGCTTTGGCTTAGAAAGCTGATCGCTTGTAGGTTTAGCAAGTTACTTTTTTTTTTTTCTTGTCATTGATAAGCATTGGGCAAGGGTTTGGCTCACCGTTAGAGTTCCTAGACTTCTTTGCATAACAAAATAGCGAAAATATTGAAAAATTGGCCCTGAAAGATCATAAATATCATAAACTATGACTGGGAGATGGTAAAAAACGGCAGAGGAAGTTTGCCAGCAAAATGAGTTACAGCTAGGAATAGGTATGACCCATTTCATCAAACGTTTTCCTTACTTTTCCCACAGACTGCTGAGGGCTGCTGGTGGTACTACTTCTCCAAGTTCACAGAGTTCTTTGACACTTTCTTCTTTGTGATGCGCAAGCGGTACGATCAGGTGTCCACGCTGCATGTCATCCATCATGGCATCATGCCAGTGTCCGTTTGGTGGGGCGTCAAGTTCACGCCCGGCGGCCACTCGACGTTCTTTGGTTTTCTGAACACCTTTGTGCACATCATTATGTACACGTACTACATGCTGGCTGCCATGGGACCCAAGATGCAGCGCTACTTGTGGTGGAAGAAGTATCTGACGGTGCTGCAGATGATACAGTTCGTGCTGGTCATGGTGCACTCGTTCCAGCTGTTCTTCAAGAATGACTGCAATTATCCGATCGGATTTGCCTACTTTATTGGCGCCCACGCTGTGATGTTTTACTTTTTGTTCTCGAATTTCTACAAGCGGGCCTACGTGAAGCGAAATGCCAAGGTATGTGGAAATGGAACCCCAATCAGCTCGCTAAACCTGTCAACTTTTGCTTCTCTTTCGCAGGAAAAGACAGCCGCCCTGAAGGCCAATGGACATGCGAATGGCGCGATCAAGACCCAAAAGGATGGCAATGTGCCGGAGTCCGCGGGCAATGGCAAACTGAATGGGTCTGCCAATGGTTTCCACAACACCTTCTCAAAGTTCACCACGGAAATGTGCAATCCGGCACTGAATACGACGACGCGACAGCGGGCGCTCGTCAACGCAGGCAACAAGTAGGAGAAGGAGGCGCCGCCAGAGCCAGCCAACCAGCCAGCCAGCCAAACAAGAAACACAAAAACAAAACATAAGCATAAATTAATTACGCTACCATTTAAATTACCTTACGATTAAATTAATCATAAGCATAGGGAGTCCAAGCCTAATCTAAGCCAAATCGAATTCGTATCAAAACAAAAACACAAACAAAATGCAAAATGCAAAAAAAACATATTGTCATGCAAATCCAGCACAGCTCCCCTTCACCTTGTAATCTATTTTCTATCCTTTTGTGCCCACACTCATTCGACACTCAGTCAAAGCAATGATCTGTGACAATTCAAGCCCCATGATGAGTACAGAGATAATTTACATACATTCTATGTACATATTATGTATTTATGCATATTTCTTGCACTATATTCTATAGCACATCTTTGAGCTACCAGGCTCTATCTATTACTTACTATTACTATTATCCATCTCGATCTATAATCTTTTGTATTTTTGGTAATGCAAGCGACAGCTTTTTTATACGTGTATATTATTTCGTTGGATTGTTTTGAACAAAAAAATGTGTTTTTATTTTATAAATAAATTCGAGATTTTAATGAAAACTTTTGCCTTAAATGTGTACTCTTTTGGATGTTAGAAAATGGTTGAATTTCTGTTCCAAAAGGAATGGCCTTGATTGGTTTTTAATGTGTTACGGCATGGTGGAAATGTTGTTAGCCGGAAATGCCCATATTTATGGGCAATGCAATGTATGTAAAATTGAAAGTAGCCAAGAAAATGTATAGCATACTTTTAGGTGGGTGAAACATGTAGATTTTATGTAGATATTATGTATGTATTTGTATCCCACTTGCAGCTAAGCGCGAGAACATTTAAATAACATGGAATGGAACATGAGTCAAGGAGAGTAATAGAAGAAAGGTCCCTTAAGTCATCTTTGGGAGTATCATCTGTGTTTAGTGGATGTCCAGAACAAAAACTCTAGTCATGTAGATATAGGTATATCGTGTATGAAAGAGGAGCCCAAGGCTGTCTTCTCAATCGCCAGCTTCCTCCAGGTTGCCTTTACGATCGGAGCTGAGAGCGGCTGCTAACCCTTAGTCCAGCGCGACTTAACAGCATCATGCAGATGCCTAAGAAAGAGACAAGAGGAAAGTTCATGGATAAGTTAATGGAGCGGCTGTAAAATGTAGAATCTTAGTATAACTGTCAGTATGGCATGTGAAACCTAATCCCTGGCCTGCTTGATCTCCCATTTGTTAATGTTAACTTGTCAATTTGATAGCTTCGGTATAAAACCAGGTAGATAACCATGCGTGGTGGTGGGGATACTGGTCACATGGAGATTGAGTTGAGAATTGTATTATAGCTGCCCAAATACTCTACTCGGTATTGCCTCATATATTTTGAGATGTGAAAGACTTTTAAGTTCATATTCCAAATAATGTCCATCAGTCCATCAGCTCCAAGGTGTCGATCATGGAGTTACATGTGGTTGGGCGTGTGGTTAGGAGTTGTTCCTCTATTGGCATGCGAAGCTTGGCGCTAGTTCTGCTCTACAAACTGGTTACAGGCGCTTAGCTAGTTCATTAAGAAAATAGATTTAAAATCGGTTTTTAGTACGCTGCTTTAATGAGCTAATATGACATGCAATTATGTACGAGTAGGTATAATTAGACATGTTCATAGGTACATAATCATGTACCATACTTAAAACAAAGTCAGAGGATAGGCAATCCATGCGAAAGCAACCGTTTAGTAAATTTTGCAACTGTATGTTCAATCCGAAATTGCATACTCTTCGACTTGCATGGTTTTGTATGTAAATGCAAATATGAGCAAAGATTGAATCTATTGAAGTTAAACACGAACATGAATTTCGAGGTGTAAACGAAAGAGCCATGAAAGGTATTTACATAAACTCGATTGCATTTAGTTATTGTAAACATTTAATGCATAATTACGAGTGTGTCTGATGAACATACTGAAATAACATATACAAAATTATGTATGGGCACACAAATGTTGTGCAAATGAGAGCTCCTCCTACCCTTGAGGCTTGTTCATGTTAAAGCCAACAGAAGCGCACTCCAAATTTCGACACTGGATAGTAACCAAGAGGCTGTGCTGCAGATGTTGTGGCCAGCAATACTTTGTTGAAAGTATACAGGACTGGCGACTGGGACACAAAGATGCTTGGATAAAAATAACCCTTGGATGCTGAGGCGCTGTCATATAATTATTTCATTAGCAGCTAATGCACGACTTCCGAATGCGCTTAAGAAGCGGGTCATCAATGCTAATGAAAACATTGTATATGTATGTAAGATGTTGCTTAGGGCTTGCATGAGCCAACAGCTAATTTTGCATACACGAATATTGATGGCCATTAAAGGAATCACGAAGGAGTCATGAGGGTAGCATTATTTTGGTCTGCAGCTGAGGTTCATTTGCATCTTTTAAAGGCAGCAATGGAAGCTGGAAGATGACGCTTCTATATGTATAAATATGTATGTAAATATGTAAAAAAACATGCGAATAGCTCAGACTACCAAATGAATACAATTTCGTTGCATGAAATCAAATCAAGTACAACTAAGTGCCGGGAAATCGCCAGTTAGTGGCGAGGCTTGATGCAGTTTGGATATCCCCAGCTGGCATTTATCAATTGATTCTGAAAGCGCTACAAATGGTAAGACGGCTGCCAGAAGGCATAAACTACATTTTCGTACAGAATTATTCCACTTCTATCCACTCTTTCTCAGCGCTTTGTTACCGCTTCGTTCCTGTCACTGGGCCCTCTGCTGCTCCTACTTTTGGTCAGCTCAGCGGCAGGCAATAGAAGACATCATAGACTGTACAGGCGCGCTAGAGCTCGGTCGTATAGCAATCCGTTCGTAGCCATTGATTACTATGCAGAGCCTAGAATAACTTTAAGGCGTACTGGCGCCGAGAAAGCGGTCTTTAAAGCCAGCACGGACTACGATATTTTTTGGGAGGATAAAACGCTACTCAGGCATCGACATCTAAATCTAGTTGGTAATCAGCAGCCGGCAAGTGCTTTCTTTGCCAACTGCCAGAATATATTCAAGGAGAAAGATTTTGCGGCGCATGTTGTGAAGGGTATCCTGGATGCGATTACGAATCGGCTGGAGCAGCACTGTGCTGACAAGAAACTGCATCCACTGTATCCAAAGATGCTTGCGGGGAATCTCTATTGCAGCTCCAGCATACAGGATACCATGGACATGCTGCTCGATCTGCTGTTGGATCAGGAGGAAAGGAATTGTGATCAAATAGCTGGATTCCAAAGCATTTATATCTTCACCAAATAAACAGAAAACGGAAACAGTTTTTCCCTTACTACTATTTCTAGATACTCTATTACCCTTTATCTGCCAGTGTCTGAGGCTTCCAAAATCACCACAGATGAAACAGTTTTCAGCCCTGTTCTTGAACTTTACTTCATCTCATCGGGCACCCCATCGAAGCTGCTCTTGAAGTTGTTCAGAAAGTGGAGAGACCTGGCTATGCGATCACCGACTGCGTCCGTGCTGGGTAAGATCGCCTCCAGCAGTATTGGAACGATTTGCTGGCCTACGGATTGAATAATCTCAGCGATCTTGATTATGGTGGCCGGATCTGGCAAACCTGGAATTCCCGCGCGAGGCAGCAGCTCATTGTCCGTGCCAACCTCGCGTCGCCTGCGTCCAGCCTCTTCTGAGTCCTCGACTGTTTCCTCAGAGGATGAATCATCGTCGTCGCCATCGCCATCCTTCTTGATCACCACCTCGGTTTCGGTCTCCTCTCCAGCCACTGTGATCACATCCTGGTGGGTGCACAATGTTCAGTTTATGCTGGATTCAAACTCTCATTTGTCACCTGTGGCCTGGCCTCCGTTGGCAGCGCCACTTGCAGCAGCACCAGCAGGAAGGAAGCAAGCAGCATCTGTCGTCCCACATGAAAACCCATTGTGCACAAAAATGTAACAAACTGCCAACCCACTGGCGATATTTATAGTTATCCAGTCTAATTGTCTAATGACGCTTGCATGTCGCATAATAGGAACCGTAATCGAGTGCCTCCCCCACCCCAAATTGATCAATTTGAAGTTCTAGCTGTCAACCTTGCTGATGCGGTAGTGGGAGGGGTGGGGGCCATGGCTACGTAAATAACTTTGCAGCAGCCTCTTCAAACACGAGACGCTGCACATTTTGGGCTTGGAATGTGCTGACCAGTGCAGTTTTTTGCCCTGCCCTGCCCAGCCCAGCCCAGTTCAGAACTGAGCCCCAACAACTTGCTGGACAATTTACCCAAAGTCTTGCTCACTCGCACTCGCAGTCGCTCACACGCAGCGGCTCTCGCACAAGCGCACCCGCTCTCGCACACACAGGTAAGCCCGTGGTGACTCGCACGCATTTCAGCAGGTAGTTTCGAGGCCCGGCTCGGTCCGGCCGCTGCTACAGGCACATAAATTGTACCTAAACGCACGGAACGCGTTTTATTCACCATGCGGACTTTATAATTAAATGAATTTCGCAGAGCGATTGCGGTCGAGAGGCTGGACAGACACTGGGATCGATGCACTGATCGTGAAGTAGCTGCAATTTCATTTTCATTTTCAATGCAGGCCTCCAACCAGCCAGTTGTCCGCGATTTGACGCAATTCTGTTAAATATTTGTCGTGACGTCGAATCGAATTATGTGCTAATCATATAAATATATGTTGTGAGAATAATAATAAATCAATTTCAAAGTAAGTTAAGTGAATTTAAAGTGCGTAAGGTGAATAATGTAATTTTTACAGATTGTCAGTCATGAATTTACTTTCACGACTGAAACGCCTAGGTGGCACCGCCTGCAAGGTGAGAACCGAACTTTGGAGTTCATTTTTTGATTGAACTAATGTAACTAATCTAATTATTTATAATTATTGTTTTGCAGAGTTCCGCTACATTGCCCGTTGCAGGTTTGTATGCAAATTTAGCTGTGGGGAGAGACATTTGAAAGATGCCCATTTCACGACTGTAGCCATCAGCTTTCGTTAGCGTGGTAAAATAGAGGGGATCACGTGGGTTAAGTTAGTTTTTCATCCGTATATTTTCGGTATAAATCTGCATTTATAAAACTTTTCAATTTATTTAAAACAAATGCACGTCCTGAAAGCTAGTCAATATTTTAAAAATGTAATTCGTCCATCGTATTAAATGATAGTTTCTGGGCTGAGAGTCAAAGAATGCCAGTAATATTAAACAGAAGATCACAGTTGAGGAAAATGATATAAGATTATTTTTGGTATTATTTCTGTGCTCATATTTGAAACGCAAGAAGAAGCAAGGGAGAGCGACTGGAAGGAGAGGATTTCCCTGACCCTCAAAAGCGCGCGCAGCTAGCTATGTTTTGAATTGAAGGCTTGCGAAGCTTTTTTATACCCGAACTGTCGGTTGTTTTGCAACTTGTAGAGACACATGAGAGAGAGAGAGAGAAGCTCATTCATCTCAAAATAGTGTGAATATAACGCAAAGTAATGTTCTTTAATATAAGAAAGGAAATAAATTCTTAGATCGAAACGCAAAAATTAACACGAGAGAGTAATTGCTGACCTAAGCCGAATTTGAAAGTAGATTTCAAACATAATCATTATTTTTTCCCAAAATGTCGCATCAAGGATTGAAAACGCCTCTGTGATTTACCTTGCAGAGCTAGAATTTTTTGTGACGTTTTTACTTGTTGTCGACACCTTAAATTGTCTCACCAAATACAGATTTGCAAATAGTAAGGTTATAGGGTACACAATCCAAGAGAAGGAGTATTCATAATAAGCCAAATTGATTCCTTAAACGGTGAAAATTATTGTTTCAGTGTAAGAAGACTATGAAATCTAGTTAAATCAAATATAACATCAAAATCGAGGAATACGATTTAAGACTACGGTATATTTACAGTATATTTCGGTATATTTCTGAGGTCTATCTTCGATAAGTCTGCATTTTATACATTTTTAATTTGAAATTGAAACGCAGCTGCAGCGACGCCCGTGGATTCCACAGAAGTTTATAAAGTTATAGCCGAGGATAAACCAAATCAAAGCAGCATACCGAACCTCGAAACAGGTAAATACAAAGAATATATGTGAGTGTAATTAATGTCAGAAAACCACGTTGCTGACGTAACAAAGATAAGCCATTGCCCTATACATTTGTGTGTACATACTTTTGTATTTACTACGTACATGTGTACATTAATTTGCAAATATAAATGTATGTATGTACATATGTATTTATGTAAAAATTCGTGTAAAAACAGCCAGATACTGAAAATATGCATGATGCTGTGACGCTTTGATATTGATTTTATCAGAACAATGCCAAATTGTATGGCTGAGCGCAAACGCAAGTTATGACGTCAGCAACGCTTCGCTGATAAAATTCCACAAGATAAACTGTGATTGGAAGTTTCCATTTACACATTTGTAGGTACACGTGTATGTGTGTGTGTAAGCACATTTGTGGCTGCAAATTCCCAGCTGAGTTTTCAACGTAACCTACAAAAGAGAAAGTCGCGCACGAGAACTTTGCTAGCTATTTTAATTCAATTTCAATTAAGGCTGATTAGAGTCAATTTAAAACCATTCACTTTTCAGTCGACATGGTGCAAGAGGAGAAGATTGCTGTAGCGGATGGCGCCGACGAGCAAATGCTGGGATCAGGCGGGCCCGAACAGAAGCTGGCCGGACGAGATGAGGTCAAATTTATCAAGGGCGATCACCAGAATGGAGATGCCAAGATCGACATTGGCAACGTTAACGGCAAGGCTGTAAGTGTAGACGAAGTGAGATTGGGAAGTCCGAGTACTAATCGAGAATTTCCTTTGTGCAGGCCTTTACGGGCATGAGCAAGGAGGAGCTCATGAAGTACGCCAACGATCCGTTCTGGGTGCGCTTGCGCTGGATTTTCTTCGTCGGATTCTGGGCCATTTGGGCCGCCATGCTGGTGGGCGCCATTCTCATCATCATCGGAGCCCCGAAGTGCGCTGCTCCTCAGCCCTTGCCCTGGTTCAAGCGCGGACCCCATGCTAAGTTCGCTGGCATTGATGCTGCCAAGCCGAATGACGTTCAGACTGCCCAGAAAATCCATGCCACAGGAGCCATCTATGAGCTGCCCGCTGCCCTGACCTACAGTGTTAAGTCGCCCGAAGTGGAGAAACAAATCAAGCAACTGGTGGCTCAATATGAGGGCAGCGATGTGAAGGTGATCCTCGACTTGACACCCAACTATGTGGGCAAGGAGTCGAAGCTGGTGCAGGATGCACTCGAGAACCAGGAGAAGCGTGCCGCCTTTGTCTGGGTGAGCGGAAGAACGAGCCCACCCACAAACTGGCTAAAGGTGGGCGGCAATCGTTCCGCCTGGGAGCAGCTGGATGGCAGCTATTTGCTCTCGCAGTTCGAAGATGGCTTCTACGATCTGAAAATGAACAGCACGCTGATAAGGAACGAATTTGGAGGTGTGCTGAGGCATCTGGTGGGACTGGGCGTGCAAGGTTTCCGCCTGAAGAACACCAAGTTCTTTGTGCTCTCCGATAGCCTCGAGGATGAGGTGAACTCTGCAGTGCCCAAGGATCTGAATCTGGGACCCAGCGAATATGGCTTCTACGACCACAAGCAGACCACCTTCCAGTCTGGTCTGGGCGATGTGCTCTATGACTATCTGAGCATTGTGAAGAATGTCTCCGCCGATGCGTTCCTCTCGGTGGCCGAGGACATCATACAGCCACAGGTGTACCAGTTGAGTGATGTTGCTGGTGCCAACGGCATTGATTTGCCCATGTACGGCGACTTTGTGAAAGTGCTCAGCAAATCGAAGCCAGAGAAATCTCTGTTCAAGGATCTCGAGAATACTCTGTTCCAAGCGGGCAACGGCAGCTGGCTGCAGTGGAACTTCCGTGATGTCTACGTGGACACGCCCCATGATCCGTCGGCGCTGGCCTTGTTCCTCTCCATGCTGCCAGGCGTGCCAGTGGTGTCCGTGGATGCCATCGAGTATCAGAATGTAACCGAGAAGACTTACAAGCACATCGAGCAGCTGCGTCACTCGGCCTCGTACATGCACGGCGAGCTGCAGCTCTATGAGGCTGACCCTCTGGTGGCGTTCTCAAGGTAAAGATACTTTTTTCTCTTTATTTACTTCACTTGACATTAATCCTATTAACTTCTTCATGCTTGCCCATTGAAGGCAGAGGTAAATCCATGGCTTCAGCTAACAGATTTTGACACATTTTCCGACTGCTTTGCCTTGAACATTTTTCTAATTGATTTTTTTTTTCTCTTTCTGCAGAATCAAGTCTGGCAATCCTGGCTACTTAGTGATCTTCAATCCCACCGACTCGCCACAGTCCAGCAACATAACCAGCGAACTGCCCGACAAAATGACCGTCTCGGTGTTCAGTGAGAATTTCAACAATTACGAGGATGTCGACAAGGTGACGCCTCTTGGCAAAGTAAGCCTCAGCGAGCTGAAGGTGGCACCACAGTCGGCCATTATACTGACCTATGTGCCAAAGAAGGCGGAGTAAATATGGTTGTATATGCGACAATACAACAATTATGTTGCACAAATATATATGTGCATTTATATAAATTAGCTTAGCTTGCTTCAGCGCCCACTGAGATTCAAAGCCGCAAAACAAAACAAAACTAAAATTTGTTGAGAACATAAATAATATATAAAGATTTCTCTGCTTGTTCAATAGCTTGCTTGCTATACAAATATATACAAGATTATTTGATTGCATTTAATTCGAAAAGAGTTTTAATGATGGTGAATGTATGACATTTTTGCAGCTGTTTGTAATGCTGAGAAGGAAGCAGCGCACTCCGACCTATGTATGTGCCTCTCTCAGATGTGTCCTACATTTTGGAATATCCTGAAATAACTTTCAATGTTTGAATTTATTTTTTTATTGAATAATCCAAG